GCCAGACTCCGAACTAGTGGTCTCATCTCCCGTTTCATTTGGTAGACTGCACTTGCTTACGAAGAGCCGGAGATCAGGCATAATCTGCATGTCAATAAAGCTAGCATTTACTCCTACTGCTGCTTTCCGTGTCAAGTCAGCCAGTCACCGCCTGTGCCTTGCGCTAGTGTTTTACGGATTTTGCATTACTTCTGCCGTCGATTGGCTTAGTGTTCCATAGACCTTTAAGTTAAGCTACCACACAAAGAGCGGTTATATGTGCCTTGCGTAATGTGCGCACGCTGGCGGTATATTCCTCTACTATGCGAATGAGCCGGAAAATGCATCTGACAACTTGTCAGCTTTTGCGGCTAAGGGCCAAGTATACTTGCTCTGCAGCAGGCACCCTGGAACGTCGTCTACAGCGCGTGCCTTAAGCCCCTGTTAAAAATGCTAGTGTGTTCCCCCCTCCCCCCTCAAGTACGTTAATACCCTCACTCGGCTATCTATGCCTATAGAATCACCTGGAGATAAATATGAAAATCCACGGCCTACTTGCACCAGTGGTAGACCTAATAAAATACTTTTCACACTTAATGGAGTCATCAATTTAAATAGCTGTATTGAATTCGTTTAATTTCCTGGAATGTTCTACGCTCTCAATAGGAGTCTAATCATGTCGTGTGGCTTTTTGCCATTCACGTGATCCACGTCCTCTAAAGATGACCATCGAGGTTCTGGTCCTATGGGATTTTTCGGTTATGTTTGGGTGAATCTTTCTTAAGAAACCTCTCTCCTGTTTGTTTATCTCTCCCGGGATCTTGTTCTCAATCAAATCATAGGAAACATATTCTGAGTATGCTGACAGTCATATGTAAGCTTCAGCGTACAGCCGGACACTCAAAGAAATAAACGTATTCTATACAGATAATGCGTAATTTCACACCTCCGACGCGCCCTTTTCACAGAAGCCGGTTTCATGCCGTTTGAATGCTTCAGATCTCCCCATGGGGTTCTGTCTGTAAATGGCGCCTGTTGGCCGGGGCTACTTCTTCGGACTCGTCAGTTGGACGCAATTCGCGTGGCTTAGGTGTCATTTACAGCGCCTGACACTTGTGCGGTCCTTCTTGTCTATTAAACAGAAACAGCCTGGAGGATAATACGTGCAGTAGAGAACTCAGTAAGCTATTATACCCACCGTAGGGATCAAGGGCTTTCACAAGCAGTTTATACAATTTACCCATTTGTCCGAGTATTAGATACTGAAAATGGACGGAGTGACTGCAGATTAGGCCCTATGTCCGGGTTGTGTGCAAGTCACCAACTCTCCTTATTTCTATAGAGTGAATAACTTCGGGACAGATTCACGATGGAGGCCGAGCAACAAAAAAGTTAGTTGAGAAGTTGGGGTCTGTTGTTTGGCTGCGGCTTCTGGGGTCACTGTTCACTGAAGGCACACTCTTATG